CTCTTAAACAGCATTAGTGTGTTCAGTAATGACTTAGGTATTAATGTGTCATATACTAAGTTTGCAATTCAACAGGTCAAACTGATAAAGTAAAAGCTTACAATCTAACAGGTCAGACTGATAAAGTAAAAGCTTACAATTCAACAGGTCAAACTGATAAAGTAAAAGTTTACAATCCAACAGGTCAAACTGATAAAGTAAAAGCTTACAATCTAACAGGTCAAACTGATAAAGTAAAATATACTGGATAAATAAATTGTTGCTATCATGCAACCAGTTTCAGAATTCTTGATTTTATTTCTTTTGTTGATAAAGCTGTCAAAAAGTTGGTTTAGATTACATAGTTGACGAAGAATTTCCAAGCGAATTGTTTAGAAAATACTGAGGAGTCTGGTTGTACAGCTAGTTCTGTAATTCTACTGCTGCCCAAAAGATGCCGCCACTGAGGAAAGTAATCACATCTGTTTTGTTCAAATAGTAAGAAATCCGAAATATTTGTACAACAAAGTTCTAAAATATTATTTCATTTTAGTGATAAGTTTTCTCTGATATAAGAATAGTCTCTTAAGTGTCAAAACATTATTCAGAGAAAGAGAATTAACATTTATTGAATGTTGATCAATTTTTGGTCGACATAGGTTTTGTAAAACACGTTTAATACCAAACTTTATATCTGTTTGTTTTTGAACGCAAGGCTACATGATGGGTAATCTATGCTGTGCCCATTGTAGAGATTGCGTCCTGAAATTTTAGAGTTGTACGCCCTACACGATTTCCCGTTTGAAAGGACAGTTGTCAATGCTTGGAAGCCACGAGTGAAATCATAATTTTCTCTCCTGCAAGAGAATACACTTAATGACCTATTAATGGACTCTAGTCAGCTACAGTAATTAAAAATTAGGTGAATTACTTGAGCGACTACCTGCTTTAAACTTAACTGATAAAAATAGTACTTTCCAAAAAAAAAAAGTAAATATTAAATGAAGTGGGAGCAAACACGTGATAACATCCTGTGTCAAAACTCTCCTCTCCCCTTTATTTTTAGGCAGACCCAGTCATCCCCAATTCTAAAACTAAAGAAACAAACAAATCACACTTTAATTGCGAGTTGCTCCATAAATCGAAATAGTTCATTCTTGCACCAACAAAACCATTTGCCAAACAGCACTAATAAGTAAATACAAAAAAAGCAAAACGACTTTAGAAAACAAACTGGATGTTTGACACAGCTCACCTACCCCCTGTAACAATATATAATGCACAACGTATTATTCCCTTTAACAATGAAATACACAACAAACAAAATATACTATTTAACATGCCCCCCAGTGCCACAGCGGTATGTCTTCGGACTTACAACGCTACAAACCGGGTTTCGATACCTGTGGTGGGCAGAGCACAGATAAACTATTGTGTAGCTTTGTGCTTAGCTTCAAACAAACAAACAAACTCTTTAACATAGAAAACGTTTCAATAGATAAAATAAAACCATTTAATAATAATATACATAGCACACACTAAAGGAAACAACCATAGAAAAATGAAATACGTCTTCTTTAGAAGGAGACATTCAAAATTAATATACAACACAATGCTGATATACCATTAAAGACATACATAATTATTAAAAACAATGATAAAACCATTTAAAGCTAAACGATGTTTGAAATAAAGAAAAAATAAATAATAATGATTTATTAATCCTTACGCCATGAACCTGATCTATAGATGACTTAAATAGAATTGATAGCGAATTCTCCAATGCAACTACGGATTTTCGGTGTGCATGATGGTCTAGAAAATAATCTATCTAGTTGTCACATGAGGCTTTTGAATCCTCTCAGAGACACACTTCTTGCTCCAGGTGTGTTGATGTCTTTCTGAATTCAGCAGATGGTCTTCCTAGCGGTTGTACAAAGTCACACGAGCTTAAAGCTAATACGCTACATAATTATTTATTATAATTAATGTATGAATAGTACATTAAACTGTAGGTAAGAAATTTCTTTTTATACTTGTGCTCACCTACTTTGGATCATACTTTTAAAGAGGATAGAATTTTGGTGTTAATCATTGAAGAGTTATTAACGAACCTTAACTTTAGACAAGTTCAGTTATTCCTTTTGTTAGTTGAAATTTCGTTTGTAATCACGAGAATCAACTATTTTGGTAGAAGTTAACGAATAAATGTGCAGTTCAGAGGTGGATAATGCTTTTCAAGTGACAAATCTCAGTTTAAGGTATTTGAATGAAACATTAGATCAGGATATTAATAACCTAAGTATTCTGTATTATTGTATCATTGATAACCTAAGTATTCTGTCTTATTGTATCATTGATAACCTAAGTATTCTGTCTTATTGTATCAATGATAACCTAAGTATTCTGTTTTATTGTATCATTGAAAACTTTGTGATTTTTATTCTATATCAGTTGATGTCTGTGAAGGTAAGTTAAACTTCATAGTTTTGATTAAGGAATTCGGACCTTAGTTTTGT